TTTGTTTTGTTCAACAAAGACCGTTGCGTATTTGGCACCAGTAATGAAGATTTTGCGCTGCAATGAAGTTGCCTCGAAATGCTATTGGGCGCTTTCACTTGCAAAATTATTTTTTTACAGTGCGCGTCAAAGTCACTGAGAAAAAGGTGACGCTGCTTTCACAGAGCTTTGTTTGAATCTTTCCCAAAACTTACTTCGATTCTCAGTGATCAGTACCTAAATGTGCCTAATAAAAAGGTCCATGGACCATGTATTAGCTCTAACTTTCCGTTGATGACTTTTGTCTACGTCTGGTATAAGTGACGGATTTGACCGTGAATAAAACGAGCACGTTTCTGATTTTAAAAAATCGCGGGGCAAAGTGAACCACTATGTTGGGGCGAAGTGGTCACTTTGCCCCATTTAGCAAGAATTATGCTGAACTTTCTGGTCCGCTTTATCCCATTTTCAAATTTCTTGTTTAACCCGCGCCCTGCTGGGGGGGGGGGGTGTTTGAACACCCCCCTTTGTGGTTTTTCGCGAATATCTCAAAAACGGCGGCGCGGAGCGCCGCCGTTTTTGGTACACCTTATCATACATCAATTCTACACATGTTGTGAAAATTTCAGACCAAGGTCATTCAAGGTCAGGTCACCAGGTCACTTGAAGTGACCTCACCTCATAAAAACTTTCAATGTCTGTCATAGCTACACCGAATGACCGATCGCTTTGAAACTTTCAGCGATTGCTAAGAGCAATAGCATGTACAAAATGTTTATCTCAGAATTTTGATATCGATGACCTAAGGTCAGGTCAATTTTGCGACCTCCCCATTATAAGTCAATGGGAGAAAATTGAAATGCGCCTCTTTTGGATGAAAGACATTATAAACACTCCGAAACACCGAATTACAAGTGGTTTAGAGACACTGAACTTGAGAATGGTGTCCGTGACCCTTGTTTATGCCATGAGGTCATCTTAGGTCACGAATGGTATCTAACAGTTTTTCGCAAATAACTTTTGATAGAGGCATGCTAGAGCGATGAAAACTACTTAGTCAGCTCGACGATACGGATCGACTGATATGCAACATGACCCTTTCCGGTCAGGTCATGACCTTGACCTGAGGTCAAATTTTCAAGTTGACCTTTCAAGGTCAAGTTATAGTTCATTCGATGCGTCTTGACGAGAGGAACACGATGCCGGTAAAAGTAAGCTCGTGCAAGGCTTGGGTCAAAAGTTATTGCAGAAAAACTGTTTTCGAAAAAAAAATCGGTTATTTTTGCAGTTTTTGTTCCCTGCAGGCAAAACCGTTGACGTTAGGTCAAATCTGAGAGAATTACTCAGAAAGGGCGTTAATAGGGCTATCGAATGCGCTTTTCCGCGGCGCTGTAGCTCTATTGGTTCCCGAATTATGCGTTGGCTTCTTGGAAATTTTCGACATTCGACCTGGAAATCGGCGAAATTTTGCCTTCAATGACCTCTGGTGACCTGACCTTTGACCTGACCAAAAAATTGACTGAAGTGATTTCGTCATCATTTTTTACGCTCTTTCGAACGCCGCCTTCCGCGTATCGCTACGTGGCCCAGGAGCCGAGTTACAAGGGGGGGGGGGTGTTCAAACACCCCCTCCCCCCAGCAGGGCGTGGAAATCCAGGACCCCCAGCAGGGCGCGGGTTAATCACGCATTGCAGACAACATGCGGTGAATAACGATTGCTGTTTAACGACGCAATTACAACCATACAAATGCATTTCCGAAGCACATACGTTCATGAAAATAAAGGCATAAACATGGGAGCTATGATGACATTTTTTGTAACACTGAAAACAGAAGGGAAATTAAAAAAGCACAATTTTGGCTCTAGAGCGAATGAAGTCACCCGTATCGAGCTGCCGCTGTAGGTGAAAGTGCGCATATGGGAAGCACTTCTAATGGCTATCTAAAAAAAAAAAACGGATAGTGCTGCTAATACGTACATACAACAGGGTGGGTGGTTCGCTTCGCTCCGGTGCAGTTGTCCGCTAATCGCTATAACCCCACTTTCCCCTAAATAAGAGACAAGTAGGTAAGCACATTGCCGGCTGCCGCATTCGGTTCGGAAAGGCGTTCTTCGACGCCGTTTGGGAATGGGTGCATATCCCCCATTTGCCCCAACGCTCCCTCCTCAATCCACCGTTATAAACACATGGACAATGACAATGTCCAACATCCAAGATATTATGTCACGAAGAACCCAGGGTAGAGGGTGATGTGACGTCAACCTCCATCTCAGTGTAGTTGAACAGATAGCGCTGGGGTAGCATCCTTCGTACGTGATCGGTGATACCAGCTGGATATGCATAGGTGTCGCTAGGTGTCACTTTACTTGTACGAGTAACATAGATGACGCCACATTCATATTTTTCTCCACGCCAATCATGTAAACGATGACAGCAGTTGCAAAACCAGTAGGTAGCGAGTATGGAAAGATGACACTAAAAACGTAGCTTTACCAAAATAAGTTGTAAAGGTGATAAAAATAGTAAAATCAATAAATGTCAGCAATTAACGTCGCGTATGAAGGAATACCGCCCGCCGCCGTGGACGTGGGCGGCCCATGACCCCCGCAGCCCATGGTATAAACAGCGACCTAGCAACAGCGGGGCTGTACAGCGGGGGGGGGGGGGAGGCACGCCATAGTAAGCGCCCCCTCCCAACCAGTAATACCTCCGGTTCCGTCCCCATGATACAAAGTATTGATAGACTGCAACTACCTATTCATCAGTGCCTATCTATAAGTTCGAAAGTGGCCACTGCTATAACTACGAGTTCGGACGGGATGATCTCTGTGACCTCTGCAGACGCCCCCCCCCCCCTTCCCGGCGGCTCCAGTGTCTGATTGCCCGCCGCCGACAGTCCGACACTTCAGGTCCAAAGTTCATGACCTGGCTAACCACTTTCCATCTCCACATACTACACAGACCATTGAATTATTATTTATTTCCCGTTGCCACGGCGCACCGGCTCCACTGTGCACCCGTGAGTCACGGTCCATGTCTGTGACCTTCATGCAGCGCTCAGTGTTGCAGTGTGGGACAGAGGGCTGGGGTGTGGAACGAGTGCAGACTCTGCCAGCAAACGATAATACGGTAAGAGGCTGGGATTTGGGGTTAGGGGGTTAGGAGACCCCTTGACATTCGTCAGAGACTCAAAGGGTAGTGACATAACTGTTATATCGATGTTGGATATCAGATTGTCGACCGTCGCCGTTATATCGTGACAAAGACAGAGTGCAGCGCTCTACTGCGCATGCGCCCGGGCCGTCCAGTCAATAGGAATGACGCAGTTCGTTTATGGCATTGGCGAACGAACGGGGTTATGGAAAGGGAATGGGGGAAGAGAACGAGAGCCAAGAAGTAGGTGTAAAGAGCATAGTGTTAACCCTCGCCGGCACAGGCCATCTTGCGTCCTTCGACGGCACAAGGGGGGGGGGGGGTTGGTACGACCCCCCTCGCATTTGGCCCCTGATCGAGCTAGAGCTTCGCGAAAAAAAACGAGCATGTTTCCCGTCACGAGAGGAAGCCGATGATACCCAATTTTTAACCCGGCACCGCCTGGGCTATTTCCGTACCCACGACAGCCTGGGGGGGGGTCGGATCCGACCCCCCCCCTGTTATCTCGAGAACCAATGGTCGCATCGAGCCCCGCGAGGCGGCGTTCGAAAGGTCTCTACGAGACCTTCCCAAAGCACTCTTAAGATTTTAAGATTGAGGTCAACTTTCGGGTCAAGGTCAGGTCAAAGGTCAACTTCTGGGGTTTTGCATGATTAGGCTTACGGACAGCGGAATCGATAGCTGCTGCTCGAAACTCACCAAAAATGACCTCAAAGGCCTAGTGAAGGTACCATGTGCGTATAGGGGTCATACTAAGTACGGGTCAAGGTCAGGTCAGGTCACGAAAGGTCACGGTTTTCACTTTCTGCTACATAGGCGTGCGACACATGTTTTATGGCTTATTTTTCACGCCGAATCCGATGGTAATGGTTATATGTGACCCCAAGTCACTGTGCTGGTGATAAATGTGCATTGAAAGCATAAAAAATTGTTTATACCATACGAGGGCTGAGAAAAAAGGTCAATTTTCAACTTTTTATTTTTAACATGAAAATGCACTTTTCTAGACGAGCTTTGTCCCAGGAATCTAGTGGTGCCATTTGCTTTCACATGCGATGTTCAGAAGTGCCTCTAATTCACGAAAATGCTTATGACGTCACCATGCCCTATGCATGTTGGAGCTATTTTTTACAATTTGGGGGTCAAAAATCAAGGTAGAAAGTTGAAATTTGGGACATCTAATGTGCTAATAAAGCTCTATAACATATATTCCGGTTTTTTGGAAATTCTCAAATTTTTGGATTTTATGAGCTGTTTTCCAAAAAATGTAGTTTTTTGAATTTTTAGGGGTGAAAAACGCATTTTAAGGAAATCCGAGATAGCCATTTTAAAGAACTCGTTGAGCTGCGTCTATTCACGTCCTTTATTTGCAATTTGCTTTAAACCCTGATTTTTGGCGATTTTTTAAACATTTACCACTTTTTGACTAAAAACGCCGTGTAGTTACATCACTAAAATCGATATATCTCAAAAAATTTTGGAATTTTTTTCTTAAAAATTACACAGAAGACGTCAAATTGATGGGGGAGAAGGTATGCCAAGTTTCAAGTTGATAGCGTAAGCGGTTCTTGAGTTATTCAAGAAAAACGGAGGGGGGGGGGTCGGATCCGACCCCCCCAGGCGGTCGCGGGTTAAGGTCCTAGGTCTTCGGATGACCTTCCAGGTGGTCAGGTCAATTACCCGAAAGTGGGAAGATCGGGACCTGTTAGAAAGTCGTAAAGTGTGGCTTCTATGTGGTTTTCCGGGGTGCTGATCACGAATATCGTGTTAGTTTTGATCAGAGATGATGTCTATAAGCATTTAGGCTAGGTCGGGTCAGGTCAGGTCAGGTCAACCGGTAGGGGTTGTGACGGGTATTCGTAATACGTGTCAGCCGCCTCTGACAGCTTCGTAACATGTTACGAAGGCACCAAAACTACTTCGTAAATGTTCAAATGGTTGCTAAATTCGAATTCAGCTCCATAAACTAGCCTAGAAACATGTAAAACTCGAAAAAGTGACCCGAGGTCACGCGAGGTCACCAAAGGCCAATGACCTGACCTGACCTTCATGTGACCTTGACACCCACCCTTATGTATGGAAGCAACATCAAATCACATGTTTGAACGTTTGAAACCACGAAAAGCTTGCAAACGCGCGGCTAATGCGAGCCGACATACGCCGAACCGCGATTCCGGCCAAACATGGTCTCGGAAAAGAGGTCACAGGTCAAAGGTCATTTGGGTCAGGGTCATGAAATTTTCAGGGTAGGTGTAAAATTGATCAATGCGAGGGTACTGAAAGTGTCGTCGCGATCGGCCCCTTTTCACGCGAGTTATTCGCGAAAAACCTTAGGGGAGGGGGGGTGCATCAACCCCCCCCCCCCTGTGCCGGCGAGGGTTAAGAGAAGAGAACGAAAATAAAACCCTCGTCCTAGCAGTGGGGGTCGATGCAACCCCCCCCCCCCCCGAGGTTTTATTTTTGCGATGCGCGCCGAACTATTAATCGGATCGTGCTGAACGAACTTTTCAATAGCCTCTGGAGTCTGGGGCATCCTTTGCTTAACTTTTGGTTAAAAAAAAAAAACATTTTGGGGCCATATAGGTCACTGAGCTATGGCGTCATAATAGGTACAACCTCCGACCGTTTTTGACAAAATCGTACATACCGTAACTGGACGTGATCTCAGCGACAAGAACGGAACTATATTCCGTGTGATTTATGTCAGAATTTGACTGGACATCAATCTTTACATGGTATATTGATCTTTCTAAGGTCAACCAAGGTCAGTGACCTCGCATATTCACACGCTGACCTCCGTGATATGAGCTGTGTTAAGTGGGGTTTCTTGGGGTCCTGAATCGGAATCTGTGGTTCAGTTTTGACCTAAATGCCTTCAAAACTTTTCCTTGACCTTCATAAGGTCAACCCAGGTCAATAAGTTACCCAGATTGCAATTTGAAGAAGTGAAACAGAATGTTCTATAAGGATATCCGAGATATTGTAAACCTGAAATGTTCTGCACGCTTCTGGTAGTGAGGATATCAACCACACGCAAATTAGTAGATGAATCTGAGGAAGACGATAGTAAAAAAATCCCGCTATTTTTCATAGATACACCAATATTGGCTCCATCAGTTGCAAACTCTCGGTTTTCACCGGGCCGGCGGATGTGACCTGGCGGATTCCCGGAGATACTAGCCTCAGTCAAAGAGCGAATTCAGTCAACAATATGTCATTTTGGCTTTGCAGCTAACTGACTGAGGAATACGCTCTTCAAAGTTGCAAGTCTCCATCTTTTATAGATGCGCCAATGTTGACTCGGTTAGTTTGAAAACTCTCGATGTTCGCGACCGTCCTCGCAACGGCGGGTGTGACCTCCCATGTTCCCGGGGGTAGCCAAGGGGGGCCACGGGGGCCATGCCCCCCCCCCTGAAGGTGAAAAATAGCATTAAATAAAATAAAAAACAAAAATAAATAAAAATAGCTGCACCCCAAAAATAGTGGGCCAAATACGAAGAGTTTTCCTTTTTTGGAGGGGGTACGACCCTAGACCGCGACCTGTGGCCCCTCCCTGAGCAAAATCCTGGCTACGTGCCTGAATACGTCACGCCAATATAATGACTGAAATGTAGTCAACTATACATACCTCATTTTGTTGCTAATTCGTTGAGAAACACGGTCGTGAAAGTTTGATGTCGTTATCTTTCATAGATTCGCCAATATTGGCTAAGAAATTTGGAAAAGTATAGCTTTTCCCCAAAATTTGACACTTGACCTGCCAAAACTGGGTCAAATATTGACCTAAGGTAAAAAAAAATGTTTACCACTAATCGCGAATACTCGTTGAGAGCAATCGACTGGTCTTTGTTGCGAAGGGCTACAACGCTTAGTTTCGAAACGCCAGGGGGAGATCGCATCGACCCCCCCCCCCCCTGCCAGGCCGCGTTATGAAAAATGCCCTGCCAGGGCGAGGGTTAATCGTGCCGGGCCGGGGAGATGTGTTTGAGCACCCCTGCGGTTTTTCGCAGATATCTAAAAAAAAAACGGCTTTTGGCACATCTGTTCATGCATCTTTTTTCGCACATGTGAAAATTTCAGACCCATGTCTTTCAAAGTCAGGTCACCTGGTCACGTCAAGTGACCTCACCTCAGAAAACTTCCAGAATTTCGTGGAGTGGGATTGTTATGTTTTTTTCGATGTCCTGATAGCACATTCCATTTTAGATTTGATCAAGGATGATGTCTTCAATCTTCATGCATTCGGGGTAGGTCGGGCCAGGTCAACCAGTAAACGTCCTGTCGGCTATCCATAGAAGGTGTCCATCACCACTGATATCTTCCTAACATGTTACGTTGACACCAAAACCACTTTGCTAATTTCGATAGCAGCTCCAAAGACTATATTCGAAATACGCTAAATTAGAAAAATGAACCAAGGCCATACGAGGTCAATAACCATGATCTGACCATAACGGGACCTTGACACAGGTACCATAAAGCCTAAGCTATACTAGCATGAATTCTTTCGTGTTTTCAGTTTCTTCGGTTCTTCGGTTCGCGTCGCAAAGTTCGTCTCATAGCGAATGTACACGTATTGCGCAGCCCACACTTTGTATGGCGTCCCGCGGAACGAAAAGCCCCAAAAACCGACGAGTCGGACCCGGAAATGTTCAGATCTCTGAACTTTTTTCGGTTTCAGCGGGATCTTGTGTTGCTGATGAATGATTAGAAGTAATTGTGGTAAATGATATGGTCACGCACGATGGTGCATATTGAAATGATATGAATGAAAATAATGTACCTAATTCATGAATTACGAAGAGAAAATGTGATTCTCAGCTCACATTGTACTCCAAATATAATGATTGGTTTGTAGCTGACGAATGACCATTATCGTAAATATATTCATGGTTACATGCTAAGATATCAAAACACTTATCTGCTGATAGTTTTGCGAAAACACGCCTACGTGTATAGGTATAGCATAAATATTT